CTCCTCCCTTTTGCAGGTCTTTAAAGGGCTCTTGTGTCCTACTTGTCTTGTTGATTATTGGATAAAACAGGCTGAAAGGGTTCTTTGGTATTTGGCCAGAGGGTGGACTGTCAAAGAGCTATCAGTGACGCCATCCCTTCCTCTTCCACGTGGTTCTTGGCTGTGTGTTTTGAGGGCCGCTCCTCAGTGTGAACCTGATAATAAGTAAGAACGATGGCCGCCGTCATTGCTCGATCATCTGCTCGGCCCGTTCAGGCCCCACACTCTGGCCCCCAGGCCCTGGCCATCCTTTCCTGCCGGTTGGCTGAGCTGCTGCTGATTGATTGTAGAATAAGCAGAGATCTTTCATGTCTTTATTTCTCAGTGAAAGATTTTGCAGAAATCCACAGTGCCACACCTGAAGAGACATGGGGTGCTGTCTCTTGCCTGGTGCTGGAGGGAGTGAACTTTGGCAAACGTCTGTACCCTCAAAAGGGTCCCCACGAACCCGACTCTGCGCCTGCCTCCTCCTCCTGCCCTCAGTGCGTCACACACCCCACCCTCCGCAAGCAACCGTTTCTTTGAAGCCTGTCAGTCAGGGTGGGCCTGGCTCGTTCTGGAACTTCACACATGCAGGGAACCACAGGGTGTGCGCTCTTTTGAGTCTGACTTCTCCTCCCGAACGTTTTGAGATTGTTCACGTCTTCCCTTTTCATTGCTGAGTGGTATTCCAGCTTCCTCCTTGGGTTTTAGAATAACCTTTCTTCAAAAGTGTGGCTTTCCATCCCCAAAGCCCCCCCTCCGGGCAGTGTGGTTTCCAGCACTCCATGGCTCCTCCTCTGTCCTGCCACTTTGGTTCCCTCATGGAAGGCGACCGGGTTGGTGAGGATCATCTCACCACAGGCTGATGCCGGAGTGCGTCTTCACAGTCTGTACCTTCTTTTCCCACGGAGTAAGCCGGTCAGAAGTGGGCCGACTGCTTGTCTACCCGAGTGTGAGATGCTGTCAGAGTCTGTTTCCAACCGGAAAGGCCTTTGCCGCCATACTCTGTAGGCGTATCCCCGACTCTTGATCAAGAGCCTAGTTGTGTGTCGTGTGACATAAAGTTTATTTTTAACCATTTCTATAGTAACCATTGCATGCGGCAGAAAAAGCTGAGAATTACAGAACTAAGCTGCTATGTGTTTTGGAAGAACAGAAGTCAAATTCTTTACAGATTTTAAGAAGATTTAAGATTGAATACAGCCATTCAGATATGCCACAGGGAGGTGCACTAGAAAGCCCATGTTACTGGCTCTCTGCTAAGTGGTGCTGGGGCAGTGGGCCGGTAGCTTCAGAGGTCAGGCTCATCAAATGCTGCACTGAGATGTATTCATATGTAAGTCTTACAAACAAAACTTCAAACAAAACCCAGGAACCACACTGTACAGAAATATTGAATTACAATTTAAATAAAAACACTTGCTAACAAACCGAACCTACCAAATAGGACCCAGTAGAAGTGTCCCATTGGATTTCCAGAACCATCATGTATATCTCAGCAGACTGCCTCATCTTTCTCCTGCAGAGCACCAGGTGGGTTTGAACCATTCACCTTTCTGGTTAGTAGCTGAGCACTGAATCACTGTGCCACCCAAATCCCAGAAACCAAACTCACTGCCATTGAATTGATTCCAACTCATAGTGAACCTACA